AAAAAAAAAAAAAAAAAAAAAAAAGAAATTGATGGGCAGAGTATGAATAGGAAAAAAGTAGGACCAGCAGATGGAATAATGGGTGATGGTCACATGGATGAATGCAAATGTAAAAATCCAACAAGCCATATGTGAGATTAGTACTCTAATATGTGTATTTCATAATTCAATTTCACCAGAGGACGCACTACACACAAAAGATGCTAGCAGCCTTTCTCATCTAAAACCACACACACACACACACACACATGCACACACACACACACACACACACACACACACACACGCACACACATACTCTAAAGACAGAAAACATTTATACATTTCCATGCTTTCTAAAACTACGCTGGGCCGTAATGAGCACTTGCTGAATGTTTTAAAAATAAATTCATTTTTTAATGTGCATCTGTTGATATAACAAATCACTACTTCTTTTCTTGTGTTTACAGCCTGATTTTAAGTTTAGCTATGCAGGGGCTGGCAGGTGGTATGGTGGTTAAGGGCTCTGGACTCCCACATGGCACAGTCTGATTGGAGTCCCGTACCTGGTAGCTTGCTTTCTCACTTTTCCTCTCTCTCTCGCTCTGTCCCTCTCTGGGCAAATTAAAATAAATAAATAAATAAAGTTAAATAAAATCATTCTTTTAAAAAAATAAAGATTAGCTCTGTAACTTTTTCACTGAATAACTTCCCTAGTATTTTTATAAACGTTTAGATGATCTCTTTTTATGACTTCTATCAGATATATCTCACAAATTACAACGATCGAAACGGGTAAGCAGTGTCATCTCCCACCAGCCTCATTATGTTGGGTCTCCAATTCTGCCAGTTTTGCAGCCTGACTTCCTCTTACCACGAGGTGGCAACAGCCTAGCTGAAATAAAGTAGAGCTGCTACTTTACCTCGCCACAGCCAAGCAGTAGACAGCGTTCTCCCTTGGGGTCCTTCCACTGTGCTCTGAGAACGACGCGAGGGGGGATCTTAGTAAAACGTCAGCACTGGGTGTCGCGTAGTGAAAGGACGGATGTGAATATCCCACTCTTGAAACTGAGGGGAGAGGAACTTGGGGGAGGTAGGAGTTCTTTATCAGCTCTTCTTTCCTCCTGGCTGTGGCAGTCATCTTCTTCTGGTTTTGTCGTTGATGTCTTTGTAAGTCAAAGAGTGGATTCGCACCTACTATGGGAGGAAGTTTGAGGGTTTGTCCTTTTGGGTCTGGCTGCGAAATTGTCAAAGGATTGCCTGGTCTCCTGCTCGCTGTTTGTTCTTTGAGAGGCGGTAGCTTGCGCAAGGTGTTCTGTGAGTCCCTATCCTCAGCCCTATGCCAGCTCTTGGAGGTCATTCTTGGTTTGGTGAAACCATCCACAATTATGGCGTCTCCAACTTTCGCCCCAAACACTCTTGCTCCACAAAGCTGGTTTTTATGAAGACTGTGACTCTGAGCTCTGAGGACCCATTGTTTTATTTTAATATAAATCCTCATTGGGACTGAAATTTTCGTAAAAGAAACTGTAGACCACATTTTACTCAGCAGATATAATACACAGTCTTTATGCTTGTGTTTGCATGCGATGGTGAGGGGAGTCTGTCCCGCTGCATTTTTGCATTCCAGGCACAGCAGGCTGCAGTTGACAAAGGCTTTCAGAATCAACAGTTGGCCAGCTTCTGCAGCTGCATGAATGGGGCATTTAGAGACGTCTGCATGAAGGGCTTCATGGCACCACGCTCGATAGGGGTGAACACCGACTGCCTCGTGGGGCCGCACGCCCTGCTGCAGGGCCCATTCAGTGAGTTCGATGTACCCATAAAAGGCAGCGATGTACAGGGCGACTCTTTTCTGAAACCTGCATGAGCGAACAGGTGTGGGTGAGATGTCTAAGAAGGCAGCAGACACATAGGGGATGCTGCATATTCATGAAACATGCTCATTATTTCTTCCTGTCTTCCTAGAAAAATATTTTGAAAATAAGCCTGCGGCAACATACGGGTTAAATGGCACAGAAAGAACACAGAGTAGTCTTCCTACTCTACACACGCCAGTAATTTCAAACCAGTTTCCTCGGGTCAGTTGTCTTTCTTATAAAAAGCAGGAAAAATCACAAGCTCTCTATGAAATGGGGAGATATTGGAAGCAATTTGGCACATTTCAGAAATTCGAAAGTTTTTGTATGTGTATCTTTCCTGTTTCCTGACAGTTTCTGGCTACATGAATGTCTTTAGGTCTACCCAGATCTGAACCACGACCTGCCTGTCTTCCCCTGATCCTGTGCTATTGTCTCCTAACTAATCTTTCATTTCCTCTTATTCCCCTGCAGGCTTTTCTCACCTAGTACTTAGTGATCTTTTTATTCCATACATTGGTGGGTACCTATACTCTATTTCCAACCCACATGAGGCTCCGGGGCCCTTTCATCTTGGCCATGTCCTCTCCTCCTATCCCACTTCCCATCACTCCCTTCCTTTCTCACGGTACTGGAGCCCCCTCTGGCCTTCCTCCCGTCCCCAATACCCCATAAGGTCTAAGCAGGGTAACTGAGGAAGGGTCTTCAGAGAAATGTGAGTTAGCCAGGCCAAGCTCAACAGGGTCCCGGCGGGCATAGTCCAGGAGACATGAGGGCAGGGCTGTGCATCTCCACTGTGCAGATAGCGGCCAGCTAGCCTGGCCTACCCCAAATCACCGCATATACCTAACTCTCCTCCCTCAGACTATAGGCTCCCTGTCCTGTATTTTGATGCGTATGTGGTTTCCATGGTAGCTAGATGTGAGTAATTTGCATTATCCATTAATATGCTGGCATTTAGCTCACACATCAATTTGTTTTGACATTCTTTAGTGCAAGACAGCACCCTCTGGGCTGACCAATTATCCTTCTTCTGGTGACACGGGGTCCTTCCCGCCAAGCCTCTGCAGTGTGTTTGTGGGTCCAGTAAGCACGCCAAGTTTGACACGTCCGTGACCAAATTCTTCTCTCCCCCAAACCTGCTCTTTTCTTGGGGTTCCCGTCCTGGCTGAGCAGACCTGCCATCTACCTCATTATTCAGGCTGGGGCCTTGGATTTTGCCTTTGCCTTCTCCTTCCTCTCCCTCTCTTCCCATTTCTCATTTGTTGCACGGACTGGTTGGATCTGCCTTCTTAGACATACCTGTCCTCTTAGCTCTGCCTCTACAGCCATAATCTAGTTCATGGCGATCATCTCTGACCATCTCCCTCTGTCCCTGTCTGCCCGTCTTTCTGCCTCTGCTTCTCACACTGGCGTCAGAGCCCTGTTTCAAAATGAAGATCTTGTTTTGGTCCTTCCCTGCCTTCCGTACTTGAAAGATAATGTCCAAACCCCTTTATAGTCCCACCGGCTGGCCCAAGCTGGTCTCTTCCTGTCTTTCCAGCCTCTGACCACTAACTCCTCTCCCGCTCCATTCCAACATGCGGAATGTCTGTCTTTCCATTTCCGGAATCTCTTCCCTTGCCTCCAGGCCTTTGTGTGCATGACCCCATCTGTCTTGGATCATCTTTTTTTCCTTCCTCTACCTCCTACCTGAATACCAGTCTCTATGACCTCAACCTAAACTTCCCCTTCTCAGAGTGCTTTGTCTGATTCCCTGGGCTGAAATGGTTGTCCATTCTCTACTAATCCCTATCCAACTTGTCAGCACTCGTCACACTGAACGTAACACAACCACTCCTGGCACTTTCATCCTGCCGGCCAGGTGCCACATACTCGGATACATTCTATGCCATTATAGAGTCATCGAATCTCTGAAACAGTTCTATGAGATAATACTATCATGATTAGAGAAGGAAACCAGGGGGCAGAATGCTTGTATCATTTTCCTAAGTTTCCAGAGCTGAACACCAAGGGAACGGGGCCTTGAACCTGGGCAGAGGGCACTGGAGTTTGTCCTCCCCAACATTTTGCAGTTCTGCTTCTCCAGGAATTGGCTACTTCTTCTTCTGCTTCCCCTACAAGACTGCAAGCTTGCTGAAAGTTGAACCATATCTTGTTTATCATTCTGTTCCTAGAATCTTGCACAGTACATAGTATTTGCTCAATAAATAGTTGTCGATTGGGTAGGCAATGAAAAGAGTTTTCAGTGGGGCCAGCAGGTGGCATGGTGGTTAAGGCATGGACTCCCACATGGCTGACCGTGGTTCGAGTCCTGGATCTGGTGGCTTATCTTTGCATTTGCTCTGTCTGTCTGTCTGTCTCTGGTGAGCACACATACATTATAGCAAATAAATAAATAAATTAATTTAATTAAATATTTCTTTAAAAAGAGTTTTCAGTCTGACCAATTACATTCTTTTTGAGCTCTTACATTTTTTTAAAGAATTATTTTATTTCACTTTATTTCAATTTGACCAGAGAGAGACAGAAGGAGATAGAGAGTGAGAGCAAGAGTGAGTGAGAGCGAGCGAGCGAGTGTGAGAGAGAGAGAGAGAGAAATTGTGAGAGCGAGAGAGAGAGAGAGAGAGAGAGAGAGAAATTGTGAGAGAGAGAGAGAGAGAGAGAAAAAATGGTCAGGTCCGGGACTCAAACCGTAGTCGACCATATGGGAGTCCAGCATCCCCGGCCACCATGCCACCTGCTGGCCCTGAGCTCTTACATTTTATTGAAAGATAAAGTCATGTGAAGGCAGTTGAGTACATGAGGACTAAAAACAGATTGTCATGGTCCAGTGCCTGTTTCCCACCTTGTTAGCTGTGAGACTTTTGGAAGGTTTTCTAATTTGTTTCCTCATCTGTAAAAACAAGATACAAAAGTATCCACCTCATAAAAGTGTTGTAGGTATAAAACGGAGGTAATAAATATATAAGTGTCGGCCACCAAGAAAGCATTGAATAAATATGCACTATTAAAAGGAACAGTGCTGGGACCAGGAGGTGGCATAGTGGATTAGACACTGGATCCCACATGGTTGATAGCAGTTCAAGTCCTGGACCCGGAAGCTTGAAACTCATGCTGGGCACATGTATGTGCATTCCCAAAATCCTGAGAAGAGAATGTAGAAGAAGGGATTGCGGCATGGCCATCCCCCGGGGTGTGATTTCTTGCTTTCCATCTTTCTTTCTGGTGGGTGCATGTGCCCTATAGCAAGAATCTCCTAAAACAATAAAAGTAACAATGCTACACAGCTATTTCTTTGGATTCAGAACATGAAAGAAGAGAAGGATATACTTTCTTAGACAGATATTAATGAAAAAAATTTAAATATTTTATAAAACTTCAAAAGCTGCTGACCAAATCTTTCTTTTCACAGTCCTTAGAGCTCCTGGTGGGGATGTGGACTTCTGTAAGACATGATTAAGTCACCCACCAGGGGGCACTGCTCTGAAATCCTGCCGAATGAAAACTTAAAAGGTTAACAAAACAGTGCATGTAGGAAGCTGCTGACTGCACAAACATGTTAAAATGTCCACCTGCTTCTCAGAGCCTGCCCTCTTTTGCTATGCCAGCAACACATGTTACGCTTCATATATGACAACCTGCGAATGCTGATATTAAATTCAGTTTGAAAAATTACACGTGACCTTTGGATGCAGTGACCAATGTTTTCACCAATCTATTACCAAGTGCGTTTTTAGACTATCTGAATGTGAGAGGGGCAGTTACTTATGTTTGACAGCCTTTGGAAATGTTGCTAAAAATCTGATATGCAAACCAAACTTAGGGCACCCATTTAATTAGTGGTCATTTCCCAAGGAACGTCTACCTGAATTGCAACCCCTCACCCAAGGCTGTCAGCTCTGGTAACCATCCCTGCTGTCTTGCTCCAGAAAATGTCTGCAGTAATGTCTGGTGGGGTGTGCTCAGTGAGACTGTCAGTAGTACAGGGCAGCACCCAGTGCAGGGGGAATTGCAGGCTTGAGGTCTGGTCAAAGTTTAGTAAAATTGTACTTCAATTAGGGACCAGCAGGTGGCATAGTGGTTAAGGCACTGGACTTCCACATAGCTTAAAGTCCTGGACCCAGTGGCTTGAAACTCATGCTGGCTGTGTGTGTGGTGTGGTTGTGTGGGTGCGTGTGTGTGTGTGTGTGCATGCCCCAAATCCTGAGAGAATGGAGGAGAAGGGATTGTGGCATGGCCATCTCCCTCAGCGGGGGTGGATTTCTCACTTTGTGTCTCTCGTCTCATGCGCCCTGTTGTAAACCTCCCCACCCCCCACCCCCAAAATGACTTAAATTAATTTGCTCTATCTCCCATACTTGAGTACTGGTCCTTCTTTTGATAAATAGCGTTGGACTTTAAGTTTTTGTCCGAGGAGACAACCCATCAGAAATTCCTTCCAGCCATCCCAGACGTCCAAGCGAAGAGTTGTTCCTGTGGACCGAGAGAGGCAGTTTACAGTTCTAGTCCATCTCTGTGCTTTGGCAATTCATACATTTTAAAGTTTAATTGATTTCTTTCATAAGCAAGAGACAAAGAGAGGTAGAAACAGAGAGGCAGCATCCTTAGTGGGTCCTCGGTGCTGGGAACTACCTCCAGCCTCAACCAGCCCCTGATTGTGGGCACATGTGTGCCCAGGATACCCGGCGAAGTCTCTGCACTGAACCAGAACCTTCCCGCGTGGTTTAGCCTGGCAGAGTGTCATGTTTTACCATTGCATCAACAACTGGCCCCCAATCTGTACAACATCTAATGATAGCTTTCTCCAAACAGAGGCATCAGCTAGATGCAAATTGAAATGTGACCCTGGAATAAGGAAACAGGGATGCTATTTTTCAACTTAGGCCTGTATTGGCTTAGAAAAGCCATTTCGCTTCTGTGTACTTCCATTTCTCCTCTGCTCCATGATTGCGTGTAATTCTGAAATACTTTTTTGCAGCTATCTTAAAACAGTCAAGTGTACATTGATTCCATGCTGATATATATATATATATATTACCAGGGGGAACTAAAGCCGCTATATTGGAAGAGGAGGGGCCAGCAGGTGGCGTCGTGGTTAAGGCGCTGAACTCCCACAGGGCCGATTGCATTTCAAGCCCTGGACCCAGCGGCTGGAAAATCATGCCAGGGGTTTGTGTGTATATGCACGCATGCCCCAAATACCGAGTGCATAATGGAGGAGAAGAGATGGTGGCATGGCCATCCTTTCTGTGGGGTGATTTCTCACTTTCTCTCTCTGTCTGTCTGGTGAGCACACACCCCCCTATAGCAAAATCTCTTCAAAAAAAAGAAGTGTGTGTGGGGGGAAGGAAACTAAGGAAGCTGCGGGAGGACAAATGGTCTCCGTGAGCCTTTCCTGCACAAGCGAGCTAAGGAGGTGTTGGATGATGCTCACCAGGCTGACCTGCCGCCCTGTCTTTTATGAGTCAGGAACTGCTCTGTTACGAACATAAACATAATTCACTGCTGCTGCGAACTTTTCCCTCGTCCTGCCTGGTCTCTGCGACACTGTGCTCCCTCTGCTCTTCAAGCTGATGTTTTCCAGACACCTTTCCTCAGCCTTCTCCTCTCACCCTGTATACCGCCAATACATTGATAAGACCTGAACCCCTTCCTCTCTGGTGGACCCCAGCTCTCTTACCTCCTTCCTCTCTGTCTTATTCAGTCTGTTCTGGCCACCTTGTCCTTTATACACCGGAATGGAGCGGTAATGTCTGAGTTTATTTCATTTCAATGAGTTCCAAAGTATATGGGGGAGCCAGAGGAGAAGCTCCTTAACTTATGTGGAGAGAAAGGAGAAGGTCGAGTCAAGAAGGGCTTTCTAGAGGAGGTGATGCCAGGGTTGCCTCATAAACTTTTTTTTTTTTTCTTGGAGAGGTTTTTGCTGTAGGGTGCGTGCGCTCGCCGGAGAGACAGTGAGAGACAGAGGGAGAGAAAGCGAGAAATCACCCCCCACCCCCCGGGGCATGGCCATGCCGCAGTCCCTTCTCCTCCATTCTCCTCTCGGGATCTTGGGTACTCACACACACGCGCCTGGCATGAGTTCAAGCCACCAGGTCCGGGACTCGAACCGCGGTCGACTACATAGGAGTCGAGCGACGTAGCCATTGCACTAACTGCCGGTCCCCCTCATAAAGTGTTGGTAGAAGAGTGTGGGGGGAAAGTTCAGAAGAATTCAGACACACTAAGTCCTCTCCTTGTCCCTCGTACAACATGACCTTCAAACATGCCAACTCCACTTTCATCTCAACTCCTGATGGCTTACAATTTCTTTTGCTCGAAAGGGTCTTCATCTAACCTTTCACAGGGCGGTGTCCTTTTTCTTCCTATTTCAATTCAAACATCATCACAGATGACACCTCTTGGTTGCCATAGCTAAAGCAGTCTTGGGCCAGCTAGTGGCATAGAGGCTAAGGCAGGTGAATCCCATATGGTCAACCATATGGTTTGAGTTCCAGACCCGGTGGCTTGAAGAACAGGCAGGGTGCACATGTGTGTGTGTGTCCAAAATCCCGATAGGAGGGAGAAGAAGAGGGAAAGGGATTATGGTGTGATCGTTCCTCCCCCACCCCCCCTTTTCTCTTTCTGTGTCCCTCTGGCAAGTGCATCCTCTGGAAAATTTAAAATAATAATAATAATAAAATAAAGCAATCTATGCCACCACTACCTTCTTCCTTTTGTTATTCTCTCTCTCTTTTTAAAAACATTTTTAAAGAATTATTTATTTAATTTTATTTATTATTATCATTACTACTTAACTTGACCAGAGAGAGAGAGAGAGAGAGGGAAAGTGAGAAAGCAAGCTGCCAGATGCAGGACTCAAGCCGCTTTTGGCCATGTGGAAATCCAGTGCCTTAACTGCCAAGCCACCTGCCAGCCCCCTGTCTGTTGCTCTTTATCCCACGACTTTATTGTAACTTCTTCATAGCACCTTCCATCAGTACTTGAAATAATTTTACTCGTCTGGAGATTTTTTCCGCCCCCCACGTTCCCAATATAAAAAGTTTCTGAAGGGACCAGCAGTTAGCGTAATGGCTATGTCGCTGGACTCCCATGTAGTCGACCACGGTTCACGTCCCGGACCCGGTGGCTTAAAACTTATGCCGGGTGTATGTACATGCATGCCCAAGATCCCGAGAGGAGAGTGGAGGAGAAGGGATTGTGGTGTGGCCATCTCCCCTGGGGGGTGATTTCTCGCTTTTTGTCTCTCTGTCTCTGTCTGTCTGTTGAGCACACATGCCCTATAGCAAAAACCTCTCCAAAAAAGAGAAAAATTGGTCAGGAATACAGGTATTGTCACAGCCTGCCTTCCCCAAGGTCATTGGTTCATGGTGGATGCTCTGTAAATATTTATTTTTTCTTTTCTTTTTTTCTTTTTCATTTATGTACTCACTGGAGAGAGACCCAGAGAGAGAGAGAGAATGTGAGAAGTCACTCCTAGAAGTGATGGCCACACTGCAGTCCTTCTCTCCATTTTCCTTTTGAGGTTCTGGGCACACATGCACATGTGCCCAGCATGTTTTGCAAGCCACTGGGTCTAGAATTCGAGCTGCACAGTTAGCCATGTGGGATCCAGCTGCCTTGACCACCGGGCCACCAGCTGGCCCTCAGTACCTGTTTCTTGAATGAAGTTCTGCTCCACTCCCTGAGCCCCTTCTGTCCAAGTACTGCCCTTCTAACCCAGCAGGCTGGCTAGCACTTCCCCGTGCCTGCCAGGCTATTTCTGGCCTTGGGGGGCTTCTTCTCTTGGTGCCAATTCTGTCCGAGTTCTTCTGATCTCTTCCCCACGCTCTTCTGCCAATATTTTATGAAGTGACTTTGGCATCACTTCCCCTAAAGCCCCCTTTGACTACACCCACCCCTTAGCTCTCCTAATTCATTAAGAGATTCCTTTGCTGGCTCCCATATATACTTTAAAACTTTTTATTAAACATATGTCACCATTTTAGAATTGCTGCTTTAGAAACACTAGTAGAGAACTCTCTAAGCCCAACCATCATGCCTCAGCCAACTTTACAGGCTCGGCGTTAGTTATGTCTTTAGTCAGCAAGAAGGCTCTCAGAAAATGGGGGTTTCTGGGAACCAGCAGTTAGCATAATGGCTATGTCGCTGAACTCCCACGTAGTCGACCGTGGTTCGCGGCCTGGACCCGGTGGCTTAAAACTCACGCGGGGCGCGTGTGCGTCCGTGCCCAAGATCCCGAGAGGAGAATGGAGAAGGAATTGCGGCGTGACCATCCCCCCTGGGGGGTGATTTCTCGCTTTCTGTCTCTCTGTCTCTCTCTGTCTGTCTGGCGAGCGCACGTGCCCTATAGCGAAAACCTCTCAAAAAAAAAAAAATGAGGGTTTCTTACACAGAAAGACAATGACCAGACCTGGCATGCTTTAGGAACCAAAGCATTCTTCAAGATGGGCAACACCCCATGAGTTGATTCCTGTTTGCACACTACTCACAGAATCTGATCGAGATTATTGCTTTCTAACCTGCCCTCTCTCCCCTAACCTGACCTGACCCTCATGAACCTGGCCTCGGATAGAAAAGTTCACTTTCCTTGCTGGAGAATTATGTAGAAATACCTTGATAAACATTTTATAAAATATGGACCATGCTTTCTGCAAGAGATTTAGTTTCTCTAAAGCTTGTTTACTTAAACATTTTTTAAAAATTTGGGGGGGGGGCACATGTGCTCACCATAGAGAGGGAAAGCGAGAAATCATCCCCCAGGGGAGATGGCCTTCTCCTCCAGTCTCCTTAAGGTTTGGGGCACACATGTACATGCCCTTGCATGATTTTTAACTCTCCAGGTCTGGAACTTGAACTATGCATCAGCCATATTGGATCTAGCACATTAACGTCCATGCCACCTGCTGGCCCAATATACTTTAACTTTTTAATAAAAGGTTTAATTCTCAGGACCAGCAGTTAGTGTAACGGCTATGTTGCTGGACTCCCATGTAGTTGACCGTGGTTCGAGTCCCAGACCCAGTGGCTTAAACTCACGCCGGGTGCGTTTGCGTGCGTGCCCAAGATCCTGAGAGGGGAATGGAGGAGAAGGGATTGCAGTGTGGCCATCCCCCCTGGGGGGTGATTTCTCGCTTTCTATCTCTCTGTCTCTCTCTGTCTGTCTGGCGAGCGCATGCTCCCTATAGCAAAAACCTCTTAAAAAAAAAAAAAAAGAAAAGAAAATGTTTAATTATCATGGGTAGTATGGGAAACAAAGGACTTTAAATATTGCTCTGGGTACATTTATGTTTTTCTTCTGATTAAAATGATCTGGTACGTTTTTAGTTTATCATGAAAATCACTCACAGATGAACAGTGGATAGGTTTAGCTTGATCTTCCTCCAGCAGAGGCCACATAACCTCCCTCTGAAGAATCAGCTGGCCCCAGGTCTAGGAAACAGTTTTTTTTTTTTTTTTTTTAAAAAAAAAGGTGTTTACCATAGGGCGTATACACTCGCCAGAGAGAGACAGTGAGGGACAGTGAGAAATCACCTCCCAAGGGAGATGGCCATGTTGCACATCCCTTCTCCTCCTGGGATTTGGGGCATGCATGCATGCACATGCTCCCAGGGTGATTTTCAAGCTACTGGGTCCAGGATTAGAACTGCAGTTGGTCATGCAGGAGTCTACTAGCATCTTAACCACTATACCACCTGCTGCGCCCAGGAAAACATTTGTTAAGATTCTAGGCCTGTAACTCAAAGGTTTGGTGGGAAGTCGCCATTCCCATTCATCCTACTCAGATGTTCTAGTAACTGCCCTGGTCCTTCTGAGCAGGCCTCCCCCTTATGCCTTATGCTATGAACCTCAGAATCCGATCTCAACTTTTAGGATTAAGGTCCCACCTTTGAATGTTTTACTATAGACCCCAACCTCTGGGATGAGATTTCTGTTACATATTGAAGAGCCTCTGGTGTTAACAACCCACATGTCTAGCTCCTTACCTCTCATGCAATCCATTCCCTCACTCACTCACTATCTTAGTGCCACGGTTCACCTACCAGTTCCATCCCTGATGGGTCTCCCTGAGTGTCACTCTTGGCCTTCTTTGGCCTTACCAATCGCCAGTTACAGACTGACCTGTCTGTTTCCCGGACCCCCACCACCTCCCTCTGCTAGACAACCACAAGGGTTTTCCCGGCCACCTGTCCTTCTCTAGGTGTTGCCTAACCTCCGGGTCTCAGTGATCCCTAGCTCACCCTGTCTACTTCTGATGAGGTCTGGTTCAGAAAACTGCAGGGAAGGCCGTACGTAGCTAAGTCCTCCGTAACACTGGTGGGGCACTTCACGCCCTGTATTTTATTCTACTTTAATTTTCTGCCTGGTTGCAAATCTTACGGATTTCGGAACTATTCAGTACCTTGCAATAAAGCCGTCCTAATTTCGCAAAGAACAAAGATAACAATGAATGGATTTTCTCTTAATGCTCAACTTTTGAATAGCCAGAGAATTTCTGAACAAGGTAGCCAGCACCATTTATTAGCTAATCCTTTCATCCCTATTGATTTGTAATGCCTTCTTTGTCACACGTTAAATTCATTCGTAAGCTTAGGAGTTCTGTTGGAAAATAACATTTTACTTGGAAAATGTTATGTTACTTGAGAAAATATAATCAAAACTTACTAATGAAAAGTTAGTGAAATGAATGAGACTTAAGCTTGAGGACCTGTCACTGCATAAGTGTTCTAATTTTCTAATTTTTTTTTTTTTTGAGAGAAATTTTTGCTATAAGGCATGTGAGCTCGCCAGAGAGACAGAGCGACAGAAAGCAAGAAATCATCCCCCAGGGAGGATGGCCACGCGCAAGTCCCTTCTCCTCCATTCTCTTCTCAGGATCTTAGGTATGCATGCACACGTGCCTGGCGTGTTTTAAGCTTCTGGGTCTGGGATTCGAACTGCAGTCGACTACATGGAAATCCAGTGACCAAACCACTATGGCATCTGCTGGTCCCTCTAATTTTTTTTTTTTTTTCCAATTTTCAGAAAGCCTTGTATTCTGTGGAGAAAGACAGGAATATAGAGAGAGAAAGGGAGAAAGCACCCTCAGAGGCCAATTTTCAGAAAGCACTTGTACTCTCTGGAGAAAGACAGGAATACAGAGAGAGAAAGGGAGAAAGCACCCTCAGAGGGGCATGGCCACGCCTCAGTCCCTTCTGTTCCATTTCTCCATCCTGTTGGATCTGAGGCGTGTACACACACTCACTGGGCATGTTTTTCGAACCTCTGGGGCCAAGATTCATGCCATGGTCAGCTGTGTGGGATCTGGTTCCCTTAGCTACTCTGGGACTGTCCCCGAATTCTCTATTCTTAATTTTGGGTTCCTTTTTTTGATCAACAGGACCCACAAAAACTGTATGAGCTTTATAAAACTCCAATCGGCCAGCTCTCTGCTTGCAAACCCAACTACCATCCATGCCCAGGCCGCGCAGGAGAGCAGATAGGAGCAATGTTGCCCGTTACAGGAAACTGGCCCAGCCTTTCCCACGTGGTCCCTGCCTCCTGAGTGTCTGGATTCCTCATTTTTCCCAGGGGTCAATATCTACCTATTTGATTTGGGCTTTCTCTTTCTGAATATGGAGACTTTCTCTGGTTTGGGTTTCCTTGTTAAGGGAAACAAAATCTCGATGGGAAGCTAAAGGGCATCAATGAAGGCTCACTGGCTCGGCAGTATAAGCGGCTGGAGGGAACCCAGTCGGGAGTGTATGCGGCAGAGACATTGATGGTGGAAAGTGCTGACTGGCGTCATCCCATAAGGAAAGTTTTTCACTCACTCATTTGTTCAGGGACACCTTGTTCCAGAAAGAATCAGGTCCGTTTATGAGCATGTATAGAATACGGACCGAGTAACAAGCCTATACTTGTGTAGACAAGAAAGGGGAGGCACAAGCCAGAGCAGAGGCAGGCAACATTTTAAAATGTGATCAGACAAAGCAAAGTTCAGAACAGTGGGTATGGGACCAGCAGATGGCGTAATAGCTATGTCGCTGGACTCCCATGTAGTTGACTGTGGTTTGAGTCCTGGACCCGGTGGCTTAAACCCACGCCAGACGTGTGTGTGTGTGCCCAAGATCCAGAGAGGAGAATGAAGGAGAAGGGATTGCGGTGTGGCCATCCCCCCGGGGGGTGATTTCTTACTTACTGTCTCTCTGTCTCTCTCTCTGTCTTTCTGGTGAGCACACATGCCCTCTAGCAAAAACCTCTCAAAAAAGTGGGGGGGGGGAAGAAAGCCAGGTGTTGTAATCCCAGCTCTTTGCAAGGCTGAGGCAGGAGGATCACAGCACAGCGAGGGGCTGTCTCAGAGCATCACACACACATGCATAAAGGGAGGAAAAGGAAGATGCACTTGAACTTGCTTCTATACATGCTTGAAATGTATTTTGAAAAGGAAAGAGATGAAATGGCCTGAGTGTTGTCCTTTTATCCCAAGGATATCTGAATTCTGCTTTAACAACAGGAGTTGGTAGGGCTGTGACACCCTTGTTGCTTAGTCTATGGACCCCAGACGTAATTTACAACCATGCTGTGCTTACAGAAGTTTGTTTAGAAACAACTCCTCCATTTGTTGCGATTTCATTTGGAAATACCTCCGATTCTCTATCTTCATAACATCGATGTCACCTGTGGTGCGGGGGGAGGGGGCAGGAGAGGTAGGAAGGCTTACCACTGTACATCCTTTTACACTGCTGATGTCTAAACCATGTAAGTGTATTAACTACTTAAAAATAAATACATAACTATAGAGAACAGACTGCATTTAAAAATTTAGGTTTCCGTTTTCTCTCTCTCTTTTTTGGAGAGTATTTTGCTATAGGACACGTGCGCTCGCCAGAAAGACAGAGAGAGACAGAGAGACAGAAAGCGAGAAATCAACCCCCAGGGGGGATGGCCACGCCACAATCCCTTCTCCATTCTCCTCTCGGGATCTTGGGCACGCACACTTGCCTAGCGTGAGTTTAAGCCACTGGGTCTGGGACTCGAACCGCGATCGACTACATGGGAGTCCAGCGACATAGCCAACCCAGGCGCCATAGCCATTCCGCCAGCTGCTGGTCCCTCCATTTTCTCTTGAAAAGCTGCAGCACCCGTTTTCAGAGAACCCCAGTGCCGAGTAGTGGCTGAGAGCAGACGAGGCGGGCAGTACCGATATCGGTCTGGTAGTCCCTGAGGCCGTTGCAGTCATACATTTCCAATCCCTTTGGCGTCCGGAGACAGTAGACACCAACGGGGAAGCCACACCTCAGAGTGACCAGTGTTCTCAGGTCAGACACCTTTTTACCGAGAAGGGCAGTGCTCTCGACTATCGGCATCTTCTCCTGGGTGACAGCGTTGAACACATAGAGGGTAGGCTTGTCTTCTTCCTACAGGCGAAGAAAAGGAGAGGACTCAGTGAGGCTGGGACAAGGGCTGAAGGATTCAGAGTGGCTCGAGTGGGCCTCTGGCTCCTGTGGCATGGCCGAGGGTGACAGCAAAGGCCGCTTTCTCTGACTTCTTGACTGAGTCTTACTCTTCCGTCCCAGGGATATTAACGGGTCACCTTCTTTGAGTGAACTAGAGACTAGGCAGGGCTCGGAGATCCTTTTTACTTTACCCTTTTTAAAGAAGTTTTTGCCATGGCTGGTAGGTGGCGTGGTTAAGGACGCCGAACTCCCACATGGCCGACCCCAGTTTAAGTCCTGGACCCTGTGACTTGCTTTCTCTCTCTCTCTCTCTCTCTCTGTCCCTCTCTGGTCAGATTAAAAATAAATAAATAAATACATACATACATACATACATACATACATACATACAGTTCAATAAAATAATTCTTTTTTTAAAAAAAAAGAGAGGAGTTTTTGCCTAAGGGCAAATGTACTTACTGGAGAGAGAGAGAGAGAGAGACAGCGAGAGAGGAAGTAAGAAATCACTCCCCAGGGGGATGGCCAGCCTCAGTCCCTTCTCCTTCGTTCCCCTTCCAGGACTCTGAGCACACATCCACACACACATGCCCGGTGTGAGTTTTCAGCCACCAGGTCTGGGACTTGAATCCCAGTCAGCCATGTGGGAGTCTGACAGTTAACCGCTCTGCCATCTGCTGGACCCGCCTTCTTCCTTCTTAGCCTACTGTTCAGGTACATGGAGGCGTGCTGGTCATTTTCGTCCATGCTGTGCTTATAGAGGGGTCAGTGTACATGATGCTTCTGCATTGTGTTGCAGTTTAATTTTAAAAGAATGCAGATTCTAAACCATTAGCTAGTTTTCAAAAATCCTGTCTGTGAGGTTGTCTCTGGGAAGTGAACTGAGTCAAGAGTGAGGAGATTTTACTAATAATTTTATGTACTTCCTTGTCTATAGGATTTGCTTTTTTTTTAAATAACCACATGTGTGCATTTTAACTATTTAAAAAGGGAAATGTCAAATACAGATTTTGCTAAGTTTCTTTTGTTCCTTTTATCTTGCAATCTAAATTGAGAAGCAAGTGGAATTGAGGTATCTGAGGTAAAGATGACAAGTTTGGGGGGAAATATCAGTCTTTCTGTTAACAATAACTTAAGCCAAACCCAAACTAAAAACATAGCAAATGACAAAAATGGGAAGGAGATGGGAGGATAAGATCCTTAGCACTTCCACTTTTCTAATACAAAATGAAACTGGCTTTCCTTCCTCTTTAGTGGATAGGAAAGCAGTAGTGTTTTTCTTTTTCTTTTTTTTTTTTTTAAGAGATTTTTGCTATAAGGTGCATGTACTCACCAGAGACAGAGATAGAAAGCGAGAAATCAGCTCCCGGGGGGATGGCCACACTGCAATCTCTTCTCCTCCATTCTCTTCTCAGGATCTTGGGCATGCATGCACACACACCTGACATGAGTTTGAAGCTTCTGGGTCCAGGACTTGAACTGTAGTCAACTATGTGGGAGTCCAGTGATATAACCATTACACCATCTACTGGTCCCTAGGTAAATACATTTCTTTCTTTCTTTTTTTTTTTTTTAAGAGAGATTTTTGCTATAGGGCATGTGTGCTCATCAGAGAGATAGAAAACTAGAAATCACCCTCCGGGGGGATGGCCATGCTGCAATCCCTTCTCCTACATGTACACACACGTGGAATGAATTCCAGGCTGCTGGGTCTGGGACTCGAACCACATCCAACTATGTGAGGGTCCAGCAATATAACCACTATATCATCTGCTGGTCCTGTAGATAAATAAGTTTTTTAAAAAGGTTTTCAAAGGTCAGCAGGTGGCGTGGTGGTTAAGGCACTGGTCAACTGCAGTTTGAATCCAAGACCCAGATGTTTGAAACTCACGGTAGGAGTATGTATATGCATGCCTAAAATTCTGAAAGGAGAATGGAGAAGAAGGGGTTGTGGTGTGGCCATGCCCCCTGGAGGATGATTTCTCACTTTCCTTCTCATTGTCTCTCTGTCTCTGTCTCTCCAGTAAACACATGCACCTATGGCAAAAACCTAAATAAATAAATATCCAGAAGACTGGGAAACAAATGAACAAACAGAAAGGCTATTTAGGGTCCAGTAAGTGGTGTGGTGGTTAAAGCACTGGATTCCCACATGGCTGACTGTGGTTCAAGTCCTGGATCTGGTGGCTTGAAAATCACATTAAGCATGTGTGTGTGTATGCCCAAAATCCCAAGAGGAGAATGGAGGAAAAGGGACTCTGGCATGACCATCCCCTATGGGGAATGATTTTTCACTTTACTTCTCTCTGCAACTGTCGTTCCACTGAGCATATACACCCTATGTCAAAAACCTAAAATAAAGGCTCTCAGAAGATGAAATAGCATATATTTCTACCTAGAAAGATAAGAATCTATAACCTAGGCATATAGATAGCTGACTCTGGAACAAGTCATTGTAATGGAGAATTACGAAACATCAGGCAATCTTTAAACAAAAATCAAGAGTGCAAGGAAGAAAATGTTATTAATTGTTAATAAAGCCAGATTCTCAAGTCTCAAGAAAATTAACACCTGCAGAGTCTGTTTGTTATTTTTTTTTAGCACCTTACAACTTTTTATCATATAAATAAATGGTGGTTTTTGAATGACACCCAGGCCCACTGAATTCATAACGTAACTTTGTCTTTGTGGGAAAACACATTTAGAGTTCAGATGATGCACACTAGTTGGGGACATGTCTTCATATTAGTTGTATGAAAAGGGAGCAGGTAGATGCCAATTAATAGTAACTTGCTACTTTCCTTATCCGCATAAGAGAAGACGTGTCTCTACCTGTCTGTCTACATCAGGGTTCCTAATCTCCAGGCCATGGATTACTGTCAGCCCATGGCCTGTTAGGACTGTGTGGGCCACACAGCAGGAGGTGAGCAGTGGGTTAGTGAGCGAGGCTTCTTCTGTTTTTATAGCTGCTCCGTCACTCACATTGTCACCTGTGCTCCACTGGCTGTCCGATCGGTGGGGACATCAGAGTCTCATAGGAGCGCCAGTCCTGTTGTGAACTGCACCTGCATGTGCCATCCAGGTTGTGTGCTCCTAATGAGAATGGAAAGCCTGATGATCTGAGGTGGTACTGGGGCAGTGATGCCAGCACTGGGGAGCGGCTCTAAATCCTGTATGATAGTGTAATGAAATAATTGTATAATTATTTCATTATCTATTACAATGAAAAATAATAGAAGTAAGATGCACAATAAATGTAATGCCCTCAAGTCTTCCCAAAAACATCCCTTCATGCTCCAGTCCATGGAAAAATTGTCTTCTGTGAAACTGGGCCTGGATACCAGAAAGGTCTGCTCTGCAAGACCTTCCTCCCCAAGTATTCTGAACCAGGGAAGGCAGGCCGTTTACACCTAAGAAAGTCCAGTGCTATTAACTAAACAGTGCCATACACAAATCATTGTTGGACATACATAAAAGTAAATTTGTCCCTTTAGAGACAAACCAGGACACCATGGTAGGAGATGCATCCCAAGTGTCTTACTTTACAATAAAAACATTCTCTTTCATGGAAATCATTTTACTTTTGTCTTTAAAAATGCAGACTCACTTGTACATTATTAGCAAAGTAGGAAAAGTTTAAAAGAAGCAGACTGAAAGGAAACAGAGGTTAATGCAAGTTTTGAACACCACTGTGTTTTTTTCTTCCAGTTCTGCTTTTTTATATTTTGCTATTTTGAAGTTGCAGCTCCAAATACGCAGAAGCTTGCCTCCGACTATACCAGAGTGATCAAAAAGGGGAAATAATGTTTGTTTTTGTTGAACCAAATAAATTCCAACTGAGAGGTCTTCAGAAAATTCTCTTGTCTGCTGTTCACCTAGAGAGGAAATACTTGATGTCTAGAACACGGGGCTGAAATACCTTTCTTTCCTAAATTCTTTTCATACTTTTCATTATGGCTTATCTTAGAAAAGAGCCATTTTTTAGAAGCACGTTTACACGTGCTTCTGTGTATAGAAGTGATTCAAAATGTAAAACCACATATAAGTCTCCTGGATTTTGGTGCTTATACATTAATGGTGGCTTTTGAAAGCTAAAAGGCACATCATTTTGAGTCAATTTTACACCTATCAGTGGAGTATGAACTTCTCCAACTTATCTGATAGACATCTACTCAATGGCACTATAATTAACCCAATCTCTCAGCCTAAAATAGCCTCTTACAACATTCCAAGGATGTCAGAAGAGATTAGCTACATTTTGACCCCAGCACTTGGTTGTAGAAGTCTGGTTATGGAAGGAGGAAGAGAAGCCAGAAGGAGCCCTGGGAAGGCTAAGTCCATCTCATGCTCTAGAAGGTACGGTTCACGCGATATTGCTCCATTCGCCGTGGGGCAGGGCTGTGTTGAAGTGCTCCCAGTCAGGCTACACTCTCACCCCAGCTCTGAATTAGGAGCCAGCAAGGAAGAGAAGCAGCAGACACAGGGATCCTCCAGTTCTGAAGCATTGCTGGCCTGGCAGCAGGGCTGGCTGAGTGCCCAGTGCCTGCCTCGGGGACTCAGAGGTGCCTGCAGTGGTGCCTTCCTGGACTCATTCTGAGGCATGATCTAGATGTTTCTGGCTGTCTGATTTCTTAGCCTGATTCTCCAGTCTTCTTGGAAAGACTGTATACATCCAATGGCCTTTTAATATGTTTATTTCTGCTTAAATTATCCAGGATTAGTTTCTGCTGCTTGCACCTAAGAATGATGATGCCAGACAAGGAAAAAGGCAAGAATGCTGGGGGAGCTTTGCCTTGAAGGTGGGGAGGGAGGAGAGATGCCACAGTCAGGGAGGAACTCCAATCCCTGAAGTGAATCTCAATTCTCTGCTATGAAGTTTTGAACACTCATCATAGACCTTCATACTTGACCACTGATGCTTTTTTTTTTTGGAGAGTTTTTTTTTTTTGGGGGGTTTTTTTTTTTTTTTTTTTTTTTTTTTTTTTTTTTTTTTTTTTGCTATAAGGGCGTATGCACTTGCCAGAAAGACAGAGAGAGACAGAGAAACAGAAAGTGAGAAATCACCCCCCAGGGGTGATGGTCATGCCACAATCCCTTCTCCTCCAGTCTCCTCTCGGGATCTTGAGCACGCACGTACACATGCCTGGCGTGAGTTTAAGTCACCAGATCTGGGACTTGAACCACGGCCAACTACATGGGAGTCCAGCGACACAGCCATTGCACCAACTGCTGGCTCCACCACTGAAGCTTTTGTCAACTCATCCATTCAACACGTTTGTGTAGAGTGTACTATGTGCTAGGGACTATTCCAGGCCCTGGAGACAACACTGAGCAAAACTTAAGCAGAGGTTTCCACGGTAACACGGGCAGAAATGAAGGAGGCAATTGTACTAGCACCTGTGCATGCTGGACAGAATCCTAGGCTTTTGCAGAGCCTGAAGCCAGGGTTCATGGGAGTCCAGCGACATAGCCACTATGCCAACTGCTGGTCCTGTAATTTCTCACTTTCTTTCTCTCTCTCTTTTTCTCTGGCAAGCCCATGTGCTCTGTATTAAACAAACAAACAACCCTAAAACAAACCAACCATCAAAAACTGTTTATTTGCCAATTTTTTGAACTTTGCAAACGTTTTTAGTTCATGTCATGATACTTCATTTTTTTAAAAAAATATTTATTTTATTTGTTATTATTATTTAATTTGATGAGGGAAGGAGAGAGAGAGGAGAGAGAAACTGAGAGAGCAAGCTGCCAGGTCTGAGACTTGAACTGTGGTCGGCCATGTGGGAGTCCAGCACCTTAATCATCACGCCACCTGCTGGCTCCCATGTCATGATATTAAATTGTACCAAAATGAATAAAGACATTCTAGCTTTCCTAGATTCCAAGAAGGCAGAACTAACTGGCACAAAATGACATAGTTAAATATAGATTTTCCTCTTGTAGAATAGAGCTATAATAAGACTTAGAAGGCAGCCTTTGGGGACCAGCAGATGGCATAATAGTACATTGCTGGTCTCCCCCACATGGTTGATCTCAGTTTGAGTCCTGGACCTGGAGACTTGAAACTCACACCAGGTGCATGTGTGTGCATGCCCAAAATCCCAAGAGGAGAATGGAGGAGAAGGGAGTGCAGCATGGCCATCCCCCCTGGGAGATTGATTTCTTGCTTTCTGTCTGTCTGTCTGGTGAGTGCATGTGCCCTATAGAAAAAAAAAATCTCTTAAAAAAAGAAAAGAAAAGAAAAGAAAAGAAAAAAGAAAAGAAAAGAAAGCAGCCTTTGTTACCTGACATAGGACAGACAGTATGGAGTTGATATCACTGCATTCTCTGAGGCATGGGATAGTTTCACAAAATATTTTTGTTGCTGTAAGCCTATTCGGGGCTGTTATCATGCACATATACTAAATAGTATGTGGACTTTTGGAATAGGCTTGTTTTGCCATATAACTGAAACAGGAACTAAGAATCAAAACCAATATTTACGCAGTTCTCTTCCTTTAGATTAAAGATTTCCACTCCCCACCAAATTAGTGATAAGAAATGTCCTAGGAGGCCAGATGGTGGAGCAGCAGTAAAACACAGCATTCTACGAGGCAATCTGGACAGCTTCCTGAGGACAGCCTGGGGCCAACCGAGGGCGGGGAGGAGACGGTGGAGTTGAGATCCTATTGAGGGTGCTGTCTATCTCTCTCGTTCTCTCTCTCTCTCAAACACACACACCCACAACAAATAAACAAACTTTTAAAAACTTCCCTAAATTCATCCTAATGGGCAGAGTGAAGAGTAGGAATGGTAAAATTTCCATGGAACTTGGGGGTTTTTATGGAACACCATGCATTGGCCCATCCTGCGACTCATAATGATCTTCTGCCTTGGCTCTCTTAAAGAAACTCTTTTTCTTCTACATTCTGACTATGTCATTAGAGTTTAGAACTCTAGGACCATGTTAGAGACCAGTACAAAGCAATGGTCACTGTGATAGATGATATGCAATTGGCAGAACTTAGTAAATGGTTTTGTAAGTTAAACTATGAATACAGATCCTCCTGTAAGGAGAGAACTAGAGGGTGGCAGACTTTTCTCATTATACTTTTTGTATCTTTTGAATTGAGAACCAAGTAACCCAGTCAAGAATAGATAAGATTCTTAAAATAATATCAAGTTAGGTCTTAAATAAAAATATCTTACTTACACTATTAATACACTATCTATGTTCCTGACGGCCCTCCTATTTTCTCTAGCCAGCTCAAATATTAGTATTCAACCATTATCTCTAAGCAAGCAAATAACAAAAAGTCTCAAACATTATTCTTGACATTGGAAAATCCTGGGAAATTTTTAGAGGACTGATCCTGTATGATACTGAAAACATAAGAAATGAATATTTTTAAAGACTTAAAGAGAAGATAATTAAGAAATGACACAGAATTTGGACTGCTTTAAAAATATTACTGTACCATTTTCTGGTGAGAGGGAGAAACCTAGAAGAAATCAGAGTTTTTTTAAATTTCTTTTGATGATTAAGCATTCTTCTGTATATGAAATGAGTGTTTATAAAACTTTAGACCCACATATATACATATATAGCTTATTATTTACATAAATGGGAACATACAATGCTTATTATTCTGTGACTTGTCTTTATCACTTAACAGTAAATATTGGAGAATATTCCTCTTAAATATGCATTTAGTCAATCACTAAAAAATTAATATAAAAAGTTAACTTTGACTAACATACAGACATTTTAAATGTTAAATATGAGAAAGTTAGTGCCTCATTTACTGGAGAATATAAGCTTTATTATGTTCTTGGGGTTCACGTTTTCATATGTGGTAAAGAACTACCACAGAATACTTTGAACCCTAGAACAGCAGTTTTTAGATTCTTTGGACCACCTATCTCTTTAAAAAAATTGTTGCAATATAAGCACCATCTATTCAGAAAACCTCCAGCACGTAATTATTTTTAAAATTTTTAGTTAACTTTATTTTTCATTTGGCCATCTGTTTATTTTTAATTTGACCAGAGAGGGACAAAGTGTGTGTGTGTGAGAGAGAGAGAAAGTGACAAAGCAAGCCTCCAGGTCCAGGACTCGAACCGCAGCCTGCCATGTGGCCATCCAGCATCCTTAACCACCACGCCACCTGCTGGCCCTCTGTCTAGACCATAATGTCATACATTTTACTATTTTTATAAACAAAAGTTGCCATTTAATCCCCCTTTAAAGTGATTTATCTGTTTAATTTGTTATTATTATTTATTTTTAAATTTTATCAGAAAGAGAGAGAGAGAAAGGGAAAGTGCAAGCTGCCAGGTTTGGGACTCGATTCGCAGTCAACCATGTGGAAGTCCAGTACCTTAACCACCATGCCACCCCTCCTTAACCGTCACACCAGCCCCACATTTTACTGTTAGGGTTCTGAAAGCCTAGCCATGGATTTCCAGGTAAGCATCATTGATTGAGGACACACTCTAAGTGGAGAGGCTATTTCCACTGTGTGAACACCTAACTCAGATGTCTAGTCTGGCCCAATCTGGATGCAAAAACCATCCCTTCATTCTTACCTTTACTGAGAATTTCTTTTCTTCCCTCACTCTGCTACCCCTAATCACTGTGGCCCCAGAGGAGCAACCTAATTCTCTTCTTCCCGTCAGTGTTCCAGATTCGGAACTTTGCCTTGTTCTCATACTGGTTTGTGGTGAGGTTGGTGATGACTGGAGGGGCAGGCAGTGAAGGGGCTAGGGAGGGTAGGGGAGGAGGAGCACTCAAAGGGGAGCTTCCTCCCGTCTCCATGCCCTGTTTCCCCTCACAGCTCAAAGCGGGGTGCAAGACCGTTATATAAAGGAAGAGAGAAGAAAGCAAGAGAAGAAAGCCTTTTTCTAAGTTATGAAGTTCCTGATTGAATTAGTCATGCTTTATTCAAACCACTGGCATGGTGGTTAAGGCGGGGTGGTATGGTGGACATCTTGGACCAAAGTTATTTTGATCTCCATACCTTAACAAAGCATTTGAGAGTTGAACAGAAAGATATTCCAACATCAGCAAGATTCCAGCTGTCCTTTAGAGCAGCTCCGGAATACGTCAGCTCCAGATACCGCCTGCCTTGTTTGTCTTCGGAGAGAGGAATGTGGAAATAATCCTGAAAAATCAAAAGCAGTCGTAAAAACAGTGCTTTACTGCACCAGGCATGCAAGCCACCCCCTCCCCCCCATTTTAAATATTAGATAGGGGTTCTTGGAGTCTGTAAACCACCCCAAAATTTTATGGATGGAATCTACGTAGAGAAAAAAAGCCTGCATCTGAATTTTCACTAATCGTCAGTGCAATTGAGATTTTCCTCAATTGTGTGTACAGATAACCACCGAAGTAACAGTAGCCAACTGTACCTGCGACTTTGGCATGGACAGAAATCATGGATATTTCCATACTCTGTTACAGTTGTTGTAGCTATCGCAACATATTGTTTATACTGATCACTACTTAGCAAACCCAGTAGTTATGAGATGCACTGCTAGAACTTGTGAGTTAGTGTATTAATGAAGAAGTTCACACGTCACCCCATCACCGATTTATTTAATATTTGAAAATTATATTTCAGTGTAACTTGTTTTCTTTTTATCACATGTGTTTTATTTCACACATTTAAAGATATCCTGAAGAGGACTTGTTTCACTGGACTTTCAGAGTGATCCATGATGTGTACAGGTTAACCTCCCCTGTGTGAGAAGATCTAGATTTCAGTGACCATAGTAATCTAACAAAGATGATGTAACTATAGTCCAATAAATGTTCCTTGGCAAGTGGGAATGATCATTCCCAAATTAAATATTCGATAGTCAGAGCTCAATATTTTGCTTAATTTTTCATTTTAGAGTGAATTTTTATAAGAAAGATCCTGCCCACAAATGATTTCTTATTCTGTCTCTGTGATCCTAGGTACGGCAGTCAACCTCCCTGAGCTTCGGCTTTCCCTGAATGCAAAATGAAGCCACTGTCCACAAATTCTCTAAAGCTCTCTCTGCCTCCACAATCCTTTGATTCTTTATGGGTGCCTACTCACCAAACAAAGCAACTATCTGACACGTGGCACGCTCCATGATACGGCCTTAAGGCTGTTTTATTTTCGTCTGTTTATGAATTTTGTTACTACTCTCTTGCCCATGCACTACACACAAATTCTCTAAAGAGAAGTGGAACTTTTTCTTTTTTTCCTGAGAATGTCCTGGCTCGGTTCACTTTCTTGTCTGCCGTTGACACAGTCGGTATCTTATCACTCTATCATGTAAGCAAATAACGAGAGCATCAACGTTTTAGTTCCTTGTTTGGTGAAAATAGACCAAAATACCTCTACCCTATGTACAGCACGGTTAAAATTAATATACATTTTAGTGGCTCGTGGCCAAAGTACATACCTTTATCATCAACTTGACAGCCTCCACAGTTTCATCTGCTGAAACATCAAATGGTTCAAAAGAGCCTTCAAAGGCTATGAAAATCCTCATTGTGCAATTACCTTCTCAAAAAAAAAAAAAAAAAAAAAAACCAGAAAGTTTTCTCAGAGATTCTGCTGGATAGCTGGAAAAATTTCAATTCACAGTTAAGGAGAAAAATAATGGCCAGAGGTAGCTATTACTACCTCGTCTTCTAGATAGTCTCCGAGGTGAGTTGAGAGAATGCGGAGTCAGGTCCCATATGTTCCTGGTATCAGGCGACACAGACAGTAGCGACATCGGAGGAAAGATTTTCTGCTGAAGCAGCAGGCAACAGTCACCTCGTTCTACATTACGGAAACCAGCACACTCAACAATGGTCGAGGCAAGTGTGAACATGCTTCCAACATGTAATACGAAAGGGCTACACCCAGTTTATACCTTTGCACTGTGACCACCCTCCACTGACTCCTGAATTCATATTTACTCAAGTCCATCTAATGGAAGTGCCCTTGAAAACAGATCTTTGCTTGGGATGCATTGGCACCGAGTGAAGCCAAACGAAGTTGCTTTCATTGAATGAGATAATCTGAGAGTTCCCTGTAAATAACTCTGCGCTGAAGCATTCTGGTTTCCATAACAACTTTGTGTACTTGTTCCCTGGCAGTATTTCTGATCCCTCCACGGGGTATAGAACAATACCCACTTGCACCGGGGAGACGAATGTGTAGGCAACCGACTGGCTTTCCCTTCCCATCGCGGCATAATGGAATCTGCTGAATCGCAACACAATCTAGTTGGTCTTTCTTTTAGTCCTTGCCTTGAGGTTACTTAGAACAAGAGATCATTGTTATCTCCTACAACCCACCCTTTGTGTTGGTGGGGAGTAGTTCGAACCCCCCTCAATAAGTGAGTAAAGATACTAAGCCCCGTTACCCAAGTTCATGGTGTAAGCATTTTATTGGAACTTAATTCCAAGACTCTCTGAAATCCGTGGTATGATTTGTCTGGTTTAGTGCTAGTCTGATTTTTCCCCCCATATGTGCTACTATTGTCTTCTTCCTGAAATGCCTCCCTACCTAGGACTGAATCCTCATTTTGCATTTCTTTTTAGCCTTTATGTTCCTCCCCCACCCCGTATTTATGATGGAGAGCATGTGTGTGAGAGAGAGAGGAAGGGGGAGACAGAAAGAGAAGCACTGTCCGCAGGGTCTGGTCACCTTGCCACCCCTCCCTCCAGCCCTCCAGCCTGTTGGATCTAGGGCACTCACACACGGTCCAGTGTGTTTCAGGCAGACGGCGTCATGGATTACAGCCATCTCACTGTGTGGAATCCGTCTGGCTTCTATTAAGCAGCACGTTATTGGGGCACCACAGAGCTCACCCTTTCATTTTTAATTTTTTAAATTTTTAATTCTGAAGAGAGTGCACCAGAGACAGAGAGGGGGAGAGGGAGGGGAGAAAGAGAGAGAGAGGAGAGTGCGAAAGCACCCCCTCTCCATGGGGGATGGTTAGGTTGCAATCCTTTCTCCTCCATTTCTCCCTCCTTTCAGGATAATGGGCACGCATGCACATGCACCCAGTATGTTTCTCAAGCCACCAGGTCTGGGACTCCAACCGTGCAGTCGGCCATGTGAGATTCAGTCCCCTGAAACATCACACCATGGGGTGGCCCTCTAGTTGTATTCTTTTTTTAGGGGAGTGGAGGGAGGGGCGCTGCTTTGTTTTTTTGTTTTGTTTTGTTTTGCTTTCTTAGACACACAAAAAAAGTGCACATGAGGTGTCTATTCATTTTCTTCTCTGTGCAGCATGGCGCTGGGATTGCTGATGCTAGTGGGCACCTGGGCAACTCTTTCCGTGATGGCTTCACGTACACAGAACAGTTTCACTGCCCTGGAAATGCTCTGTGCTCTGCCTATTCCCCCTTCCCTTCCTTCTTCCAGTCCTTGTTCCTGACAATAATCTGCTGCAGATATCTTGGTTGCTTCAAAGTTTTGGCACTCATTTTGTTTTGTTTATTGCTAGAGGACACTTGTACCCATGAGAGAGAGAGACAGAGAGAGGGAGAGGAAAAAGCATTTCCTGTGTGTGGTGGGAATGGTCACATTGCAATCCCTTCTCCTCCATCTCTCCCTCCTTTCAGGATTTTGTGCATGCATGCACACATATGGCGTGTTTTTCAGGCCTCTGGTCTGTGACCCAAATCATGGGGTCAGCCGGGTAGGATCTAGCTGCCCTAACTGTCAGACCATGGAGTAGGCCCCCAAGTTTCAGCAGTGATAAATAAAGCTGGTATAGACATTCACGTGCAGGTTTCTGTATGGACATAAGTTTTCAACTCTGGGGTAAATAATAAGGATTATGACGGCTAGATCCTATGGTGGAAGTCTGTTTTTGTTTTATTTTTTCCTCTAAGAAACTGCCACGCCGTCTTTCAGAGCGACAGTTTTTTGCTTCAGCCATTCAGCTGGGACTACAAGCATGCCCCGCCTTTTGTTTTGACAGGGTGTCACTGTGTTGCCTGGGCCAGCCTGGAGCTTGTCCTTTCTCAACCTTCTGAGTCTCTGGGATTACCGAGTGTGCCACTGTGCCTGGTCTTTAAATTGGACCAAGAGTTAAGCTGAGGTCTCCCACGAGTCCCCAGCCTGCCAAACACAGCCTCTTAGCACCATGTGACACATTTGATCTGTGATAAATAAAGATATATTGTATTTTTATTTATTCATTTTAATAAATACACACTGAAGTCCTAAAAGTGCCAAGTACTGTTCTGTGCTGGATTATTGCCGTGTGCAAGATGTGGAGCTTCCGGTCTAGAGTGTATGCATGCCCGCAGGCGTGTGTGTATGTGTTTGTGTGTGTGTGTGTGTGTCTGTGTGTAGTGGAGAGGAGGCTCAGAGGGTGGACAGTCGGGCAGAGGCAATGATTAAGTAACTTATACATTAAGAAGCTCTTTAAAGAAAATAGTCAGGCAGTAGGCACGAGCCTAGAAAAAGTAAATAAGACCACATAAATGGAGAGAACTAGGAGCAAATTACTTGCTAGGAATAATGATAGGAAACAATAAGATGAAATGCAGGGCAAAAAATAAGAAGATGACATGGGTTAGCATAATGGATATGTTGCTGGACTCCCATGTAGTCAACTGCGGTTCAAGTCCCGGACCCAATGGCTTAAAACTTACGCTAGGCACATGTGCGTGCATGTCCAAGATCCCGAGAGGAGAATGGAGGAGAAGGGATTGCGGCGTGGCCATCTCCCCTGGGGGGTGATTTCTTGCTTTCTGTCTCTCTGTCTCTCTCTGTCTAGCGAGCGCACGCACCCTATAGCAAAAACCTCTCAAAAAAAAAAAAGGAAAAAAAATAGGAAGATGACACATATTAATGGAAACTAATGTTATAAGATCTGGTTGAGGGTAAAATGCCAAAATCAAGACTCATATTTTTGTCTCTGATTTGTCCTAGATGTCAAAGATGGAAATTAGTTACCTGATTTTTATTTCTGTGCTTAAAATGTGGCATTTTTCCTTATTATAATTTAAATTTTTTTTAGGTTCCTTTTAAAAGCTCTGAAATAATTATGTTTGGATTGATTTTGAGCTATGTCTAATTTGCGTATATTACTATATGGTATACATGGTATAGAATGTGTACAGAGCAACAAGTAGAATTTTATGGTGCATGGTGAATGGTACTGTAAAGAAATGCTCAACAATTGATGGTCTTTTACAATATAATTTAGCTTAGAAGTATCTAATTTGCTATTAAAAATATGAAAGTCCAGCTTGGTGGTACAGTGGTAATGCACTGCTCAAATGATGGTGGATCTGCTTAGATATCCCAGGTTCAGTTCACTGGTCAACCTGTAGTTTTAAAATTGGTCATTGAGTTCTCTTCTTTTCATCTCAGAAAGCGCTTATAGATGTGCATTTGAATCACTTGATGATCCTCTTAATATGTGGATTCTGATTGAGTAGTTCTATAGTGAGACCTGAGATTTTCACTTCTAACAAACACCCTGGACCATAGTTTGAAAGCAAGGGTAGGACCAGCAGGTGGCAAAGTGGTTGGGGTGCTGGACTCTCCCGTGGCCGACCGTGATTGGAGTCTCAGATTCAGTGGCTTGCAACTCAGGCCAGGCGTGCATGTATGCGTGCCCAAAATCCCTAGAGGAGACTGGAGGAGAAGGGATTGCATTTTGGCCATCCCCCATGGGGGTGATTTCTCACTTTCTCTCTGTCTTTTTGGTGAGTGCATGTGCCCTATAGCAAAAATCTCTCTTAAAAAACAGAAAGAGAAAGAAAGAAAGAAAGGAAGGAAGAAAGAAAGAGAGAGAGAAAGAAAACGGAAATGAAAGGAAAGAAGAGAAAGAAAAAAAAAAGTGTATGAGTGGAAAAGTATGATACCTTTCCTCACCTATACCTTTCCTCAACACTCCTTTAACAAAGCACAAGTTAACCAAGAAAAGCATAACAAATTTATTTATTTATTTATTCATTTATTTGTTTATTTTTTGGAGAGGTTTTCGCTATAGGGCGCGTACGCTCACCAGACAGAGAGAGACATAGAGACAGAAAGCGAGAAATCACCCCCCCGGGGGGATGGTCACACCACAATCCCTTCTCCTCCATTCTCCTCTCGGGATCTTGGGCATGCACACACACGTGCCTGGCGTGAGTTTTAAGCCACCGGATCCGGGACGTGAACCGTGGTCGACTACGTGGGAGTCCAGCGACATAGCCAATACGCTAACTGCTGGTTCCATTTATTTATTTATCTATCTATCTATTTATTTATTTATTTATTGGAAAAGCATAACAAATTTATGTCATCCAGGTTTTATGTGACACAGGAGTCTTCAGAAATGGAAACAATCCATTTTTATGGTTAGAGTCAATGAAGTATGGTCAGCCACATAGAAATGCAATCAGACAAAAATGGTATGATCTAATGGTAACAGACCCAGGTGGGAAACCCAGCAAGTCCTGCATGTTCAGTTTTTTCCTGACATTTCTCTGTAGCATTCTTTCCTCCTGGGGATAGGGCAGGACCTCATCTGGAACGAGGGTCTTATGA